AAGGGGAATATTCTTTTAAACGAAATAATTTACAAAAGATGTATTTTCATTCATAATGTCAATTGAATCACCAATATATAAAATATCAAAAAGAGTCTCGTCTGTTTCATCAATGTCACTCATATTACCTTTCCTTGAGTTAAAATCACCTACAAGAGCAATATCATTTACATAAGGAGAATAAGATATTAGTTTTTTCTATTCTGAGAATACAATGTGTAATGTATAGTAATCTCAGATCTACCTCAGAAAAAGCATCTTCTGAAGAGTACTTTGATTATTCAGCAGGGTTGTAAATACACCCAAAAAGAAATTTATTATCCTGCACATTTTGAGTACAATTTTTAGAAATTTCTATCCCCTTAAAAATTTTTGAAGTCCAACTTAGAAATTTCAGGCAGTCCTAAAGCATTTTTTTTTTAATATACTACAACTATACCCCCAGATTTTTTGACAACCCTTTTCTATTTTTTACAGAATAAGTGTAACCGTCTGGTAGCTTTAAATCATCAAACTCATCAGTTTTAGTGTTTACAGATACAAGAATATCAAAATATTTGTCTTGCTGTGACAAATATATAGCAGAATGCAAGACATAGGGATAACCAGTGGCGGTGTTGTAAACTATTTGTTTAAAGTTTGATATTTTAGAAGGTTTTATATTTGATTTATAGAATTATTGTAAGGTGTATATGTCTGTCTGGCAGGGTTCATCTGATCTTGACTTCATTTTTTATGGTTTATCAATGTTAATTTCTAATGTTTTGTTCTGTTTATCAGATGTTTGGTGTGACTGTATTTTGTCTAACAGGGTTCATCTGACCTTGACCTCATTTTTATGGTTCATTGGTCATGTTCTCTTTTTGTAATTAGGTCTGTATCTCGGATATTATAAGCAATAGGCAAACTATATTTGGTGTAAGGAATGATTGTAAGATGTGCATGTCTGTCTGGAAGGGCTCATCTGAGTCAGACCTTGACCTCATTTCATGGTTTATTAGCCAATGTTAACTTTGTTTCTCAAATAATATAGCAATAGGTCAACTATTTTGGTGTATGAAATGATAAAGTTTATAAGATACCTTATATATATTTTTTATATAAGGTATCTTACATACTTTATAATATATCTCATATTTTAGGAGATATTTAATATAAGATATCTCAATTTATAAGATATCTTATAAATAAAATTATACGAGATTTTTTTGAAAGAAAATTATATGAGATCTCTTATAAACTATATAAGATATCTGATAAACTATATAAGATATCTTATAAAGTTTATTATTTATCTTGAAGTTAGAATAAATAGTAAAATGGCTTGCAATACAAATGGATACATTTTCATTTGATAGGCAATATTTAAAAATAAAATTTTGGTTTTGGTTAAAAATTACTCAAAATTTGCTAAAATTGAATTGTTTACCATATATAAGTTTCTATATTTTGATCAAATGTTCTGAAATACAGTTACACTAAAAGTGCTGTTTAAGCCTTAATGTACCTCATTTGAACTTGTGTGAATCTTAAAAGTTTTTGCTGTGAAATATATAAATAGGACAGGGGCAGATTCAGGCGGGCGTGCACCCCCTAAAATTGCAAAGCATGGGTTGTCCTCAGCTTAATAAAGAATATTTCGATAATTTTACCCCAAAAAAAATTAAGTTTGCGCCCCCCTAAACCTAAAATCCTGGATCCGCCCCTGATAGGAAATTTGCCCTACCTCTTTTCTTTTTGATTCAGACAAGTTTGATTGTAATTAGTTTATTTCATTGTAAAGAAAACAAAATATTACTTTTATTTTGTCTTTTCTAAACCATCTAGTACAATCCAGATATGCGAATCCTATAGTACAAATTTGGATATTCCGATTTCTACTAGTCAATATCTGAATTCTAATTTGTACTGGATTTTAATAAATATATATCAAAATTTAAATTTGAATTTCTACTAGTGGATATTGGAATTCCAATTAGTACTTAGGAATATTCTGGATCCTACAGAATTCTATTTTTGTTGTTGTTTATAACATTTCTTAAATGCTATATGACCAAAATTGCAATGTTAAAACATATCATACAGAGCAGATCTGAATAATATTGCTCTAAACATACTCTGGCCTTTGTTAGTCTTGTATGTTTTTTGCACATGTTTTGGTGTGATGTCCATTTTCACTGAACTAGTACACAATTTTATTTAGGGGCTAGCTGAGGACAACCTCTGGTTGCGGAATTTTCTCGCTGCGTTGAAAACCCATTGGTGGCCTCTGGCTGTTGTCTGCTCTTTGGTCGGGTTGTTGTCTCTTTGACATATTCCCCATTTCCATTCTCAACTTTATTTAAAAATCATCTTTTAGACAATAGGAATAAAGTTGTCGATTGGTTTGATAAAACAGCATTAAATTTAAACACATAATATTTTATAATGTCTTAATGAAAGTATGAATTATATCAAATTTTAGCACATACTTACAACTTCTCGTCCAATCAAATTGCTTATATTTGCCTTCTAATTTTCATAGTACATACTTTTCCCGTGTACTAAGTAACTACGCATGAATGACCACAAGGGTAAGATATTATTGTATCGTAATCAAGGTATTTAAAACAAAAATTGCCACTGGCTATTTTGAAATAAAATGCTGTGTTCCAAATTAAATTAAATAGTTTGTAATTAGTTTTCACGTTGATTTTTAAATATCCTGCTATTAAAATCCTTGGATCTAAAAAATGTTTTTGACAATTGCAAATATCATTTAAATAAAGGGTAATACATATGGTTCTTTATACCTTGATTAGAGTACAACGATATCTTAAAATTATGATAATGTATCATCCATGCAATTACTTTGTACACAAAAAAGTGTGTACTATGAAACCTTGTGAAGGAAAATTAAAGCAACTTGGTGATGATTTTTTAAACTTTCTTAAGGAAGGTGATCTATTTCGTCATGAATTGATTGATTTGTTGATTATTGGTTGCTTAATGTCCAGTGGCAAATATTTCATGCATGTTCAGGACGATGTCATGAATTGAAAACTGTGATTATGTCTGAAGATAATGTGCCACCTATATATATATATATATAAACATATTCGGATAAATCTTTTTTTTTCCTTTGAAATAATAATAAAAAAAAAACACACAAAACACAAAACCTATAATCTCTGATCTATTGGTAGTTGCTTTTTAATGCCTATCTGCTAGACTATATCTATGGGGACAAACTATCTATATGTTTCAAATTTATTATAGCTTTAGTTTTACTGTGAAATTAAAAAATGTTTTCAAAACATGGAAAGCTTCCACTGCAATTTAATTATTGCCTGCTTTTGGTCAATTTATTTTGTCATCTTACCATGTAAGAAGAACATGTATAGTAAAACACCGCTTTATATCAGTATACATATTAACACCAGCAGCTACCATCTTTTCATTCTGGAGTCAAGGGCCTTTTTAAATCACATATTTTACAATGATACTAGTGAGTAGATTTACAAAACTTCGTTAATGAACTCCGTTTTACAAACACCTGTGATACAAGTAGTCAGCCAAAATAAACTATCAATAGACCAATTAAAAGATTACTCGAGTTGTAAATATGTGCTAAAATGGATAGTCTATGAAAAGGTATATACTATGAAATTAAGAGCTCGGGGCAAGCCCCTCGCTCTAAATTTCATAGTATATACCTTTCTATAGACTAACCTAGACGTAATATATTGAGGATATGAATAAATATGTTTCCAGTATTTATAATCCAGGTCTATCTATTTAATTTATAATTTGCTTAAACTGTAGAAACACTTAAATTCAGTGTGAACAGTTTTTACTTAAAGCTACAATTCAAAATAGTATGAACATGTTTTATGTCATTAATATTCATGATTTGCCAAATATGGTCAGGGTTAACAAGTTTTGTAATATATGTACATATTCTAGACTTCATAAATATTCATGATTTACCAAATATGGTTAGTGTTAGCAAGTTTTATAATACAGACTGATGAGTTGTTTTCACTTCTAGTTTTATATAACTTGTATTTAGGTAGACAAAGTTAATTGATATTTTATACTGGAGAGTCATGTTTGGTTTTGATGTTTTGTTGCAGCCAGTTTTACCTTCAACATTATACTCCAGCGACAAACTGTCCTTTTCAAAGCAGTGGGCGTAACACTCTTTTAACTGTTGTTTATACAAATTAGTTAAAATCATAAATCTGTCATTACCCCTGATAAATCCATGTGATACAGAACCTGGTATGTTAATAATTATCTCAGGCACTGAAATCTGAGTCATATGTAATGAAAGTAAATAAAAATAAAAGAAATTTGTGTAGATAGCTCTTAGTGTTTATAATTTGTTCATATGTAAATATAAAATATACTATAATTTGTTGTGCATCACTTTAGACTTTTATATTCTGTATAGTTCTAATGTACATGTATATATTGACTTTGAATGAAAAACACAGATAAATGAATTAGTTGATACATGAGTTTAATCCTGTGAAATGGAAACAGATCAACCTCAAACAAAGAATACCATTCATAGAACAGGTAAGCTTTATGATTTTATATTTATATAGAACTTTTTGTTATAGCTTTACACTGTGGCTTTACAACAATAAAATAGTTTCTAATTTAAGTTAACATTCGCGGGATTGATCAAGAATTACTATCTTTTGAAAAAAATATGCCAGATATATATATATATATAAGTCTAAATTGAAAACAACGTTCAAACCTATGATTGCGTTGGATAAAAACCGCAATTTTTATACGTGTGCATGCAAAACAAATTTCTTGTTAGAGGGTTCTAAATACAGCACAAACAACATTTTCCAAAAGACCAAAAAAGTGAAAAAGTATATTTTAACAAAACGCATTTAACTAACAGGTCGAACAACACATGTTCTTAAATCCTGCTGATATATATATCTTTATGAGAGGCTTGCATAACCAAAATTTACTTTACAGTTATGTTGTAATTTATACTTTGTTTTAAAAAGTATAGAAAAGGTGATCTCGTTACATTTACTTCAATATTCCAAAAATGTATGTCAACATAATGCTTTTCATTGTGGTGAATTCAAAAACACAACTTTTCTGTAAAATTACAACAGTGTTAAAATAAGGATTTTTAAATAACTATTTTTTATGCCCCAGCCGTAGCCGAGGGGTCATCAAGTCTTACCCCTGTCCTTCTGTACGTCCATCCGTCTGTCCGTCTGTCCGTATGTCTAACGTTCCAAAATTGGTTTCCAATCTCTAACTTTAGTTGAAGTCAGCCTCTCATATACACAATGCTAACTACCACAAAACACAGATCCAGTTTGAATTTTGGTGGCGTCATATTTACCGTTCTAGAGTTATGCCCCTTTATAAATGGAAAAATTGCTAATTTTTTTGTTTCCTTTCTCTAACTTTAGTTTGCCTCAACCAAATGTTATGAAACTTATACACAATGCTTATTACCACAAAACACAGATCAAGTTTGAATTTAAGTGGGGTCACTTTTATCATTCTAGAGTTATGCCCCTTTACAAATGGTAAAATTGCTGAATTTTTCGTTTCCGTTCTCTTACTTTAGTTTGCCACAACCAAATTTTATGAAACTTATACACAATGCTTAATAACACATAACACAGATCAAGTACAAATTTGGGTTGCATCACTTATACCATTCTTGAGTTACATCCCTTTATAATGTCATATATAAGCGGGGGCATCATCTGTGTCCCATGGACACATTCCCCGTCCTTCTCTATTTATTTTTAAATCAAAGGGAAGTAATTTATTTAACACAAACCAATTTCTGTATTCAGATGATATATACAGAGGGGGAGAAATATGATGCGATGGAACAATGTTAAAGATGTCAACATTTTAAAGAAAAGATAATGGTGAGAATCTCTAATTATAGTGCCAAACATATATACAATAATCTCTTATTTATGGGGGTTCAAATTTTTATTCGTTTATGGGGTATTTTGTACCTGTTATTTTTTTGTTTTACATATAAAAAGAGTACACCTTAGGACTATTTCAAAGTAAGCAAAACCAACTCTGCAAAGCAGTGTATAAAGAAATTACTTTCAGACAAACCCAATATAAAAAGATCCAAACGAAAGAAGTATTAGTAAAAATTAGCATTAATCCACCTGAAAATATAATAATTGTGATTTTGAAATGGTAGGATTCTTCTTGCAGTAACATTTTGAAAAATGATACATAAATACATGTTCAAAAAAAAGGGGGGGGGGGGGGGTATATGCAGATTTAAAGGGAACCCCCACCTCATGGAGCTTGTCAACAAAACTTAATGGAAAAGATAATGGTGAGAATCTCTAATTATAGTGCCAAACATATATACAATAATCTCTTATTTATGGGGGTTCAAATTTTTATTCGCTTATGGGGTATTTTGTACCTGTTATTTTTTTGTTTTACATATAAAAAGAGTACACCTTAGGACTATTTCAAAGTAAGCAAAACCAACTCTGCAAAGCAGTGTATAAAGAAATTACTTTCAGACAAACCCAATATAAAAAGATCCAAACGAAAGAAGTATTAGTAAAAATTAGCATTAATCCACCTGAAAATATAATAATTGTGATTTTGAAATGGTAGGATTCTTCTTGCAGTAACATTTTGAAAAATGATACATAAATACATGTTCAAAAAAAAGGGGGGGGGGGGGGGGGGGTATATGCAGATTTAAAGGAAACCCCCACCTCATGGAGCTTGTCAAATATAGATTATTTATACAAGACTTTTTATATATGCTCACTACAAATTTCACATTTTTTTAAAGGTCCCCCCCCCCTTTTTTCAAAATCAATAAAATAAAAATTATCTCAATTTCAAGTTAACAGCACCCAAGAAAAAAACCCTTTAAATTTGTTTTTGCTTTTCAGCAAAACACCAATCCTCTGCCAGTAGTTAAAGATTTGCCATTTGAGTCTAATGACCACGGGACATTTATAGAACTTGGGAAATTCACCAAATACTTACGAGACCATGAAGACCATTCAGATACATCTGGTATTAGAAAAGGCAATATCCTTCGGCAGGTTTCAAAATATAAGGATGGAATACAAGTAAATGAAGGGGTCGAACAGTTGCCCGTTGCATCAGTTTTTAGATACATGTACCAGCATATGGATGACTTCAAGATTTGTCAAAATTTCTGTTCTGCAGTTATGGAATCAGCACTTGGAAAGCAACCTACAAAAGTTCTTAGGCACAATCTTTCTCTTTATAATGATATTATAGGCAGCAATTTTAGCAATTTCCAAAATTTAGCAACAGCTGATATCAACATAAGTAACAGCGACCTAGAGTTCATTGGTGAGGCATATCAATATAATTTTTCTTCCAGTCAGTGGAAAAAGATACAACTGTTTGAATGGCATTTCCAAAATTACTGTAAACCTAAGTCTGGATCAAGCTTCGAACATATTTTGCAGCGAAAGGATGATTTCTTTAACTTATGTAAAACATTAAAAGACGGAAGTCAACGAGTCCAACGAATGGTTGAGAAAACAGTTGAGATCAATAGATCTAGAAAGTTATCTACAGAAGCACTTAACGGAATACAGCTTGAGGTAGAGGGACACAAGCATTTGCCAGACCACCTAGAACGGGATATTATGACCTGTATAAAACCATATATATCAGAAAACATAGCCTCTGTACTATGTGTTGACTGTTCAAACACATGTAACCATGTCCATGGAATCCATGTCCTAGTTGATCTGGCACAAAACCTAGAAATTCCCTGTCTGGATAATATTTGTGTCATCATAAGCATAAGAGCATTGCTGCAACGCACACATTTTTTGAATGCACCAGAAATTGTATTTCTCACCAATTACACATTTCGTTCATTTAAGGATTCCATTCCACCAAGGTTTACAGTACGTGACCAACTGAAAATGGGCGTTTTGAGTGATAACATATATCATGTATCCAGAACACACGATGATGAAGCAATTGACCCTAATGAATTAATACAACCAAACTTATGTTCCTCCTGCTTTAGGGAATACACATACTTAACCGATCCTTTGGATATCAACCATTTTAACGTGTCCAGGGAATGGCTGCTGCATGTACCACTACCAGTACAGATACAACTTGAGCATACCTACATTAGTAAAGATGTGAAAAATGCTGTCAGCATTGAACCAGTCAAGCCAAAGATTGCAGCTTTGTACTGTCAGTTTGAAGCTCATTTAAAGACACTTAACCAATCGTATGGTGGAATAATACAAGACATTTATACAGATGAATTATTAGTGAACTATCACAACATTTCAACTGTATTTTCGCTGACTTCGCATGCTGGAATATCACATAGTCAGAGGACAGGAGATAGAAGACTGAGGAAAAATGCAGACCCTGAAATCTGCTATTACCGTACCTTCATGAAAAAATACCAACTTACATACAGAGGGATTGACCAAGATGCTGAATGCCTTCAAGAAGTTTCTATAAAGCAATGTCATCTAGCATTACTAATGGACAACCTGGTTCACTTTACAATGAATGTTGATCCACATCCTGGACAAAGCAGAACTAATCAGCTATGTACACTACCATTAACTGTTAAAGGAATTCCCAAGAATGCACATCTAACATCTTGCTGGCACACAAATGGTTGTGATCAGGATCATTTTTGCAGTTGCATGCACGAAACAGAACTAGGAAAGGATGATGTCAACAAAACTTTTCTAGAACAAACACCAAATGAGCAAGATACCAACAACATTTTCACAGAAAATATGACATGGGGATTTCAAAGCTTGTTTGGAGTAGAATGTATTAAAAGTCTCATTGAAATTCAGAAGTTGGCTCAAAGTACCATACAGTCCCAGAAGAGAGACAACTCTCTTTCAAACAACAGTCAGACTGAAATGGAAATCAGTATGGACGAAATAAATAAGACAATGGAATCAATGAACATAAGCCTAAACCATTTTGACCCTGACGAAACCATTCCTCTGGAAACAGATATCGGGACAGTAGAAACTGATATCGGGACAGCATCAGAACCAGAACCTTTTGGTGACATTTCATTTTCTGGATCTATGCAGAGCAGATTAGAGGATTTAGACGAGTCAACAGATATGAATAGCTTTTGGGATGAACAACTCTCTTTAGATCTTTCTGAAATTCAAAGTAACATATCTACTTTAAGTCTGGAAAATGCAGAGTTTGAACTTATGCATGACGAAGAAGAAGGAAATATCGAGGAGCTTATCTACACAATGATGTCAACTGATAATGACAGTATTACAGTACCTGTCAATGACCAGTCAAGAACAGAGTGTCAACCAGTGCTTCCTGTAGCTGCCCCACCACCTTTGCTTTGTAGACACCCTCCACCAGCCTCTGCTAGGGATGACGACATTTTGGTATTAAAGAAGGTTCTTGATGACATTCTTATCAAAACAGATGTCAATGTTAAAGAAGATAAAATCATCTTTGCTCCAGATTATAAAATTGCAAAAAACTTGCTGAAACTTATTGACAGCACAGAAAAATACAAAGTTTTCATTCCAGAGTTTCCTATTCTCCATCTCCGTAAATCCAAAATAACCAATCTGATATCCGCATATAAAACAACTGGACTACTTCACATTCTGAGGTACATGAAAGATGAAGAAAACGAAAAGGATTGGACAAAACTACTTACCATCGAGAACATTGAAACGGCCACAAGAAACATTTGGAGGTTATCAGTTGCTCTGCATCTTTCATTCTTTGTGTGTTATGTCTCTACACTCACAGAAGAAGAAGCCGGTAAGGTTATTGAAGTTATGGAAGAGACACCTGACCAACTAAAAAATATATGTGGCGACAACTTTGAAAGGTTTTTGCAGAAAGGACAAAACCAGAATGCAACATTCTGTCTACATTTAGAACTAATGAGACACTGCGATGAAATTGTTGCTATTGCTGTATCCGAGAGGATTGGCGGAGAAAATGGTTACAGTCTGTTGTTGGCAAATGTTAAATCCTCACTTCCATTCTCATTTCTGAATAATGCATCTAGCTATGCTGGATTTTGTATCAGGCTTTTGTTGTCACATTACAGTTGCAGTCCATTTCATCAGAAGTTGAAGCATTCTTTGTACACATCTCCACACAATGACAGCAAGGTTAATTTTGGCTTGGACACCAGCCGGGAAATAGACCATAGAACTGCAAAGAAATGTATAAGACCTACTTCCACCATAAACTCAGTTTTGCCTAAGATGTCTACAGTTGATGACCAACGTCAAATACATATAATGAGAATGTCTCTCCTCACAGGACTTAAAGAAGTTGATGACACATCTGCACAGGACAACAAATCTGCTAAATCATGTGCTTCAAAATTCATCCAAAAACAGTTATCATCTAATGACATGGAACATATTATGCGTACTGCCAAATTGATTATTAAGATGAATGCGTTGTCACATGCTGAACAGAAAATTCCAAAAAACATCTACCATCCATCTAAACCGGATATTTCCGAAACTTTATTGGACAAGACAACATATGCCCTTGGCAACTTTTTGATCAGAAGGTACCTCTGCACCAATGGTATATTAGGGTTGAGTGAGGAAGACATACCACAGATTACTGATATTGAAGGTCCAAAAGTATTAATAAACCGTGCAAAAGCTATGAAAAGTGTCACCATCAATAGGGGAAGATGTCAAAAGAAAACTAATATTAAACCAGAACATGTCAAATTAGAAGAGAAAAGGCAACAAAAAGTGAAGAAAATGACAAAGGAAATCGAATGCTTCAGTTCAATTCAAAATACTTGTCAAGCAGTTGTCAAACCTGACTGTTCCAAATCTACCACAAACAAATCACTAGGAGTAAAGAAAGCTTTGAATACAATATTGAAGAAATGCCTGACAGATCTAGCTTCAGAACCATCAAATACGGACGAAAATTTTCCAACACTCAACAATTTACTAATGTTCAATTTTAAGGATATTCCAAAATATATATCACTCACTGCCAAAATAGTTGTTGTTGAATTTGCAGGAGCAAAATTCAAAACTTTTGCAAACACAGGAGAGAATTATTTAAAATATGTATCCTGTGGCATCATCAAGAAGCTCCTCAAAGATTTACCAAGCGTCCAAAGAATCATTATTTGCGAGGAAAAATATTCTTTCACCCCTGATATATTTAAGGCTGCAACAAGACAAAAACGCCAATCAAAAGATCCAATTACAATAGCACATTTAAAAGAGAAGGATGAAATTATTAGCAAGGGCAAATTCAGTAAAAAAGCAGCAATATCAACTGGGCTGGGAAAGAAAACAGTCAGCAACTACCTAGGCAAACATTTACATGAATTGGATATCCAAGCTAATGTAACTGTAGATGTAGATAGTGAGGCAGTCTATGGACAGTGTGAATGTGAGGACTCTAACAACTGTAGCTGTTCCCTATTTACCATACCAGTTCGGGCAGTATTTACAAAACATGCTGGGGTATCTGGTATACGAAAGTTGGATGCAATCAGGCAGCGAAAAGGAGAAGCGGAGATGTCACAAGCTGATTGGTTACGTGATGTCCAACATGACCTCCATGATGGTGAATGTGTGGTGAACTATGTTACATCAGCAGACATTGATACCATCGTAATACAACTCTTCACTGTAAGCTTATACTGGCCAAGAAATGTAGACAACACGTTTAAGTTCCCTGTTTACGTATGGCTACAAAAACAGAAGCCAGAGATCTATGATATAACAGGAATAATAACTGTACTCGAAAAACGATTTGGAAACAAGTATATAGGTGCCACACTTGCAGTGTTATTGTCAATGGGAGGCAATGACTATTTGCCAAATTATCATGGAATTTCGCATGAGAAACTATTGACAACTGCATTGTCAGAACCAGTAATATTGAGTTCGCTTCTCAAATTTGTACAAAAAACCGACCCTAGAAATGTATTTGTTTGCACCTTGGATATGGAGCAGTATGTTCAACTGTACACCAAACTTTATTACCCCAAAAACATTGAATATGGAAAGTTATCAACTACAGAAGTCCGTCAACTATCAGTTAAACACCCTGGAAAGTCAGAGTTCAGACACCCTCAGACATGGATGCCACCAGAAAGTGCTCTTCGACAACTTGGGAAGTTAGTACAATGCCAAATAGATTATCTCTTAACAACTTTTAATCACGAGGCAAACCTTCCGAATTTTGTGGGTTCAGGATGTTTAAATTTAAGACAAGATGGAACAACCATATTTAACTTAGGACCTGAATGTCACACCAGTAACAAGAACGACCTGTTGACAGTTCCAGAGGAAGTTATTGGCAAAAAGCTGAAGGAATACGCCATACCGTTAAAACGAAAAACTGTTAAGAGAATCTCTGAAGACACACCACAAAAAGGAAAAAGTGGCAAGAGACAACCTAAAATGTCGACACCAAGGTAAGTTTAGTACAACATAACCAAACAATGATTCAATATTAATATTAATAAAAAAAACTTATGGTAACTGAATTTATAAATCCCCAAAATACAAATGAAATACATGGTCAGAGACAAACAGGCAACCAAGTTACATATAAAACACCCAGCACAAATACTATAATAAACAAATAAGGGTAGACAAACGTAGCACAAATAAAGCAGAAATTGTATAAATGGACTTAAAAAACCCAGGACAGAAACAACAAAACGGCGAGACGCTTAGCACTTCAAAATAAAGACAGATAATTAACATTAACGGCTCAAAAATTGGGGTGATCTCAGGTCCCCCTGGAAGGATACAAAATCATACTACAATTAAAGAAAGGGGTCTCACGAGTGTAAGACAAAACAGCTATATAAATAAATACATAATAATAAATACATATGAGAGAAATATGATTAAGGTACATACTCAAAAGACATTTATGCACATGATTTATCCTTTTTCTTATTTCAGGAAAATCCAAGCCCGCAGAAGGCTTCCTGATTCCTAAACCTTTGTGATGTTGATGTGAACTGTCCATTTGGGAACATTATTATATGAACAGTCTGTGTACATGTGTACAAATTTAAATAACTTTTTACCTATGATACACTTTGCAATAATTCAATGACTTTCCGAGACGACGAGAGGATGTCAATACCTTTGTGCTTTTTGTATATGATAGAATTTGTGCATTTTAAAAATTAAGGATATGGTTTATTTTCAAGTATAAATCACACAAATCATCATACATATAAAATCAAAATAGAGAGGATTGAACTTTTTCATTTGATTAATTCAGACAGTTTATATCTCCACTGTCTCCTATGTATTTAGTTTAAAATGCTTAAGACCATAGTTTTTATCAAAATATTTTAAAAAGTGAAAACTTCTTCAAAACACTTTACTATACACAAGTAACTATTTTTGAACTTTTAATTTAAATCAATTTATGATAGAAATAATTAAAAAAACAATAAAACCTGTATATAAATACTCTGGACATGTTATTTTGCTTGAATATTGAAACCATATGTATCTCATCAGGTTGATGACTTTTAAGCGTGCACACAAATTCCAATCGCAGCTGATGAAGATCAGATTACATGATATGAACTTTCACTGAGAATTCTGTGGTCAATCAAATTTAATGGTTTGTTATGCTCAATCTGAGTTGTTCAGATATAGTTTGTCGCTAGAGTAATTAAAGTAAGTACAATATACATTTGCAGAAGTTTGCTACATTTAAATGAGCTATAATATAACCTATTATGCTTGATCAGACTCAGTATATAGATCTACAGTTTGAGTATATATAGCATGATGTTGTTATAAAAAATTATCTCCATTTGACACTTTTCAAATTATTTTTCAGTTTCAGCATTCATATTTCAATCATTTCTGTGTACATAACTTGTATTTTATAATGATTTGGGGGGTGGGGTGGAGGTATTTATTTTCAGTAGCTTCTTTGTTATTAGATTTATAAATACACAAATGTAATAAGCGACGAACTTAAATTTCATTTTAAATAAAAAATCATTTGTTATCCCCCAAATGACCTATATATAGCAAAATACAGATATATTAAATCAAAACTGCAGATATACAGACATGCATAAGACATGCATAAGAAAATTATTCTAAAAGAAACAGTTTCAGCAAAAAGGTAGCCAAGACAACCTTAGTGGGGTTTATGAAAAAAATATCCACACAAACCTGGCCGAGAACAGTTATTTCGTAAAGCATTTCTTATAGACAATAAAGTCAAATTAAAAAAATCCACCTGCTCTATCTCAAAAAGATTTTTACAGTGTAGTGTACTTCTATTGGGACAAATAATATCAAAATTATAGAAAAGTCTACTCGCTCTAACTCAAAATATTGACAATTCTATGTTAAGGGGGTCTAAAATTCACTTTGACAGCTTCAGACATACTAGTTTTTTACCTTTTTTAACTGGACCAAATTACTACTTAACATAAAGATTCTGCGCCCAAATTTTTTTAACGTAATTTCATCCCCTTACTTAATATTTCATGCATAAAATATAAAGAAATAAATTTGCAAAGTGTATGAAAAAAATTTGCAAGTTATACACTGACCACACTAGGGACTATATTTGTAGACAACGAAAATAGACAACGAAAATCTTAAGGATGGTAACTGTGTCCTCGGATCACCTTCAACTGATTATCTGTTTAATTCAGGGACTATTACCAACTTGAGAAATGAATCAAGATTTAAAAATTGCTAGCCTTATATAAGAAGCTGTTATTTCATTTAAAAAAAAAAATTTATTTAAATTTAACATTTGAATGACTTTAATTTTGGATCAACTATCATTATATCTACCAGCCAGATATTTCTAAGCTCAAGTGAATAGCAGGAATAGGATCCTAGTTACAGGATGCAAGTCCAGTACCCACGAATGAAGTCCCGTAATAAATCTAACATCTTTTAAATGGGATATTGTTAATATTAGAAAATTATGTATGGATATTCATCAAACTTTCAACTTCAGTTTAATTTTCAGTGATTCTGAAATGTAAAGGGTGGATGATGGAGTAATTGGTTCAAATTTTATTTTCAATTTTAACCTTGAAGTTGATTAAATGACCCTTTTAATACTCAAAACAGTATTGAGCTCTTAAATGCCAGTCATGGCCCTTCAAAAATTCATCATGATACCATGAAGGGGGCTACTAGTATGAGTAAGTAATTAAAATTTGACAGTCTAATATATGGGCTAAAAATCTGCCTTTCAATTATGATAAAATTGCATTGAAGTCATAGGGAAAATAGTTGGGTCCAAATTCCATTTACCAAATTTTGAAATTTTTCGTAATCCTTCAACTTTTAAGGAGTTCTACTTGACCATTACATTTTTCACAACATTTTTTTTTTATCTTTTGCAGAAAGTATTTAAGGGAAATTGCTACTTACGTTAGGTGAACAATTATCAGAAATTTGAAGACAGCAAATGAATAACTTGTATGGAGAAGTAGTTGAGAAAATCTGTACAGGTAGGTGAATATAAAATAGAAATTCAAAAATATCCACCTTTATATCACCCAGTAATATCATTTCCATAATATTCTGTTTTATTTAAACTTTGAAAACCTGAAAATATAGCAGATAAATATCAGCATAAGAAACTAAAGGTCACATATAGGGCCTTCTAAAATGAGGTAAACAAAAACGGTAGAGTATGCTAGTTTCTACAATTGTGAGGGGGGGTGGGGGTGGTCTCATCACGATTCACGAGTTGTTTTTTTTTTGTCAATCACGATTCACAGAAAATAAATTTCCATGATAATGGATCACGAAAATATAAAAAAAAAAAAAAATCTGTAGAAAAACGGATCACGATAGCGAAAATGCGCCGATCACAAAGAACGAAAATAACCCATCAGGCCCCTCTAAGAGGATGTGATCTTCATCAATCTGATAACTTTAGGATGTACTGGTCTAATGGAAGTGCAGTTTTCTGTTTTGTCTCATGTAGTTTCTGTTTTCTTCATCATCTGATAACTTTAAATATGAAATTGCTGCTGTCTAAAAGTTCACAGGTTAACAGCCTTTCTTGTTACTGTTTATGTGCTGCTTATATATAAACATTGTAGCACTTCTCAGTAGCTAGATAGAGTTGTAGCTTTTCATCAAATTAAGCAGCAGCTTCTTTACAGTCTATTTTAGAATGATGCCAAGTGCTGATAGCCTGATTCTTCTGTGCTTTTCTTTCAAGTTGAAAAAAAAACTTAAATTCCTCTGAACTGAACTAGTAATTACGCATGATTAAGCTGTTAGTTTCTCATTGAGTCTTTTTCAAGCGGGTTATATTCAGATCTTTGTGAACTCTCTCAAACAAGACATTTAGTCTTTTCAATCTCGTTATATCATGTAATAGTATACTAATCTATTGATTATATCAAGATTGCTGTGAACTCTCTCTTTCAGTTCTTTCAAGTCACCGAAGATACAACATGAATAATCTTTGGTGGACTGTTAACAATTTTGTCTAAAGATTTATTTTCAGAAGATAAGATATAGGTGATCCATTTTGTATTTGCAGATGCCTAATGATCTGAAGTAGTTCCATTGCACTTGACCTTATTTTCATGGTTCAATGCACAAATTGTATTACTAAGGTGAGGTCTACCACTCTTTTGACTGTATTTTCATGATCCACTAAACCAAATGTATTACTAAGTTATTAATTGTTGTGAGGTCTACCACTCTTCATTCAGGGAATAGGTCAGCTATATCAATGGTTGATATTTAAACCATGTCTATCAAATAGAAATTACCTGACCTTAACCCCATATTAACTGTTCCTTTATTAAACATAGATTTTGTGACACATGTAATAAGATTTTGATATCAAAGATTGTCTGTGGTAAATGACTATGCAGAGAAGATCTATTTGTTTATGTCTCATTGATTTGCTTAAAGAAAGAAGATTGAAGAGTATGTGGTAGGATAAGATACAAGTGTAAACTATGTAAGTACAATCTGTATATTTTAAAGTTGTATGCAATATGACACATAGTGCACAAGATAAACTATTGACTTAAAAGTCAAGTACAAGAAGTAGTTGGATACTATTCATGATACGTATGGCGAAGTTAAGCCGCTCTCTGTGTTTAGGGTTCACAGATACTATACCTCCCTTTTAGGTATAGTAACGTCCCCTAGCATACGTATCAAGTATCTGCTACTACTTGTACAAACTGAGTGAGAAAGCTTAGTCTGACTGAGCCTAAGCTTGGTGGCTCATCAGTCTTAGCCTAAGCTTGGTGGCTCATCAGACTTAGCCTAGCTTGGAAGCTCTGTTCAAGCGCAGTGGCTAGGTCAAAAAAATATTTCCTTCATTTTAATTGGGAATAAAGGGATATTTTATCTATTTTTTATCCATTTGGGAATGGGGGTCAGAGGGGATATTTTACTTTTTTTATGACCAAATTTTTTAAATTGTACATATGACTGTTTTTATATATTTTTCAATTTTATCTCAGTTAATTTTAAGCCCCCCAAGTCAAATCAGAGACTTAAAAACTGGTACTCCAAAAGGAAAAAGATAGGTGTCTTACTGTGGGCATTTGTCTTGGTGAACTAGCACCTTAAAGTCCAGCTTACCCACAGGCCGGCTGGCTAGTGCAAGCAGACAGGTATTTTCAATACCATTTGGCATTTTTAAACTTTGGCATTTTTTCATTTGGCTTTTTGCTTTATATGTTTTTAACTATTTGGATTTTTGTACCATTTGGCATTTTTTATTTGTTTTTTTTTCATTTTTTGCAACATATTTTTTTCATCAACACACCCAAAACACTTCAAAATTAAAAGTTAAATATACACTTTTGGCATTCATAATGTTTATCAATCAAAATAGCATTCTATTTTCAAATTGACATTACACAATTTGGCTTTCTGTAACTTTGGCTGTTAATCTTTTGTACGAATGCTATGATGACCATTATGTGTAGAAAATAAGACTACATTTCTAAAAGTGGCTCAGTATCATATATTTATGTTTAATGTCAAATAGTTCTGAATTTTCTTCATATTTCTGAAATGTAAGTTCTTCCATATCTGGTACATCTTATAATATCGTATTCATTTACTAACCCAATTTTCTCATAGGGACTTAACACCAAGCAGAAGGGGGTATAGGTGGTAGGTGGTTAAGGGTGTTATGATAGGGTGAAAGGGTGAGAAAGGGAGGGAGAAAAATAGAAAGATGGAGAGGGTGAGGGTAAATGATTGTGAGTGGAATGTAGAGAGGGAGAGAAGGTGTGAGAGAATGTGATTTCATAGTAAGGACAGGATGTACTGGTCTAATGGAAGTGCAGTTTTCTGTTTTGTCTCATGTAGTTTCTGTTTTCTTCATCATCTGATAACTTTAAATATGAAATTGCTGCCATCTAAAAGTTCACAGGTTAACAGCCTTTCTTGTTACTGTTTATGTGCTGCTTATATATAAACATTGTAGCACTTCTCAGTAGCTAGATAGAGTTGTAGCTTTTCATCAAATTAAGCAGCAGCTTCTTTACAGTCTATCTTAGAATGATGCCAAGTGCTGATAGCCTGATTCTTCTGTGCTTTTCTTTCAAGTTGAGAAAAAT